CCCTTGCTCCGATCCTTCAGCAGCACTCTGGCGAGTGAGACGATACCTGGCTCGCCGTCACCCTGCAGCGTCGCTCGGGGGTAGCCGACATCGTCGCAGAAACTGCTCATAAATGAAACCGTGTAGGGTGATGGTCCTTTCGGTGTAACCTGAACCGCTCCCATATACCCTGATGCGCTATCTTGAATCACCAAGACTGTGGCCATCTCCGAATCCTTCTCGTCGGTACCCATGAAACAGTAGTCCATGCCCAAAACTGGATTCGGTGGTCGCGATCCCTCTGGATGTCTTCGTCGATGAGCGCCCTATTGACCACGCCCGAACACGCAACTCTCGCACCGCGGTGCATAGAGCACGTGGGCGAGCATGTGACGATCATGCTCCCCCACGCTCGGCAGTGCAGGCACCCTCAGCGCAATGGCTACCTGCGCCTCTGGGGTGTCCTCGACTGCCTGGTCGCTCTCGATCACGCCCCCCGAAGGATTCGCCTCTCGGTCGGCGGTCACTGGCGCCGCGGTCCTTCTCTCATTTTGTCTGCCTCCCGTAATACTCGCTGTGGAGCTCTGCAAGCCCGTCATGAAGTAGCCGTTCCGTCTCGTCGAGAGCTTTATAGCAAGGCCGTCCCTGCTCATGTAGCCCTCCAAACCCAGCTGAAACTCGTAACCCTTGCTCGTCAGCTGCCCGACTGAAATCAGCGGCCCCCGAACATCTGCAACAAAGAACGGTGCAACAATCTCCAGCGACCTTCCGCACGCAGTCTCAACGGTAAACGGGGCGAGTCGCTGTCCGTAAACGTGAATGCGCTTGCCAGTCGCTGAGGACAGCTCTGGCTCCTCCGACAGTTCCGTAATCTGCATGTGCTTCGCGTACTTCTTGGGTGCAACATGAGCGCATGCACCGCTGTCGAACATCGGGTCCTCATCGCCCGAGATACTCTGGATCCCGTCCAGACTGATCATCGCCAAGGTCGAGTCCTCAGCAATCGTAAAGATCCACTGGTCACCTCGCTGCCCGTAAACCTCACCGATATGCCCGTCTTGAGCTTTCGCTGGAGGTTCTCCCTGAGCATGTTCTCCTGAACTAACTTCGTTATGTGTCGCTGGAGGGTCAGGGCAGTTCTTGGCAATATGTCCGTGGCGATGGCATCGATGGCATTGTGGTCCTTTTCCTTTTCCACCGTCCGACTTGCCTTTGCCGTCGCTCTTGTTCTTGCCCTTGCCATTGGAGTCGCCTTTGCTCGTGCCCTTGCCCTTGGTGCCACCTTTGTTCTTACGTGTCCTGCCCTTGCCGTACTTGCCTTTATCGATCGCCCCGATGTCCATCGGAGCGGGTCCACTGCTACTGCTCGCCTGGGGCACCATGTAGTTGTTCATCGTTTCCTTCAGCTCCGTGGATGTCGAAAGCGTCTGTTGGTCGATCTGCGCCTTGATGGCCGACGGAGCGTTCGCCTTGAGGATTGCCTGATTGAGGGTGTCGCTTAGAACTTCATTGTGTTGCTTCTGATAGAGCTGGAACCGACCCTCAAGCTTCTGTAGTTGCTCTGGAAACTGCGAAACACCTCCGTCGAACTTCGTGTTCAGAATACTCATCAACTGTGTGACTTGAGCGGCTCCCGTCACTGGCTCTTCCTGCTTGACGAGCTGCCTCCACGCCTCCAGGCCGTTGTAGCCAGGAACATTCATCACTAACTGGAGGCTAGCACCCGTCAGAACCTGACTCAGAATAAGCGAGAGCGTCCTCGAGTACTGCTTCTTCTCTACGCTCAGGGGCCCAAGCGGGATGGCGTCATCCTGCTCCTCGGCCACGTCAAAACTCATAGCCAACTCCGTGTCCAGCGCCCCGATGTACGCCTTGAATACATACTTCCACTGCTGCCAGTCCGTCTTCTGGCCTGAGTACGGCTTGGGCTTCCCTAGCAACTTGGTGTCGACTAGAGGAACCAGCGGATCTCCCATCTATGCCGAAAATCTCAGCCTCCGTCCGTAATCCGTTGGTTGTCCCCTCTCCTCGTCGTAGCCGGCGTGGTAGCGCCAAGGGCGCACTCACCCACGCCACCAGCGCCCAAGGTCGGCGCCAGGAGCCCGCGTGCGGTCCGTCTGGATCTCACACCACGGGCTCCGCTACCATGGGAGAAACCGAGGTCTCGTGTGATTTCTCTCAGAACGGTCTTGAGCCAAATTATCACATATGCATCCCCGTCTGTCCTGCACAGCAAACTCCAATCACAACAAACGTGACAGATAACATCCGCCAGCCCCGTAGGGCTACCAGGCTGTAGGCCCTTTGGGCATACACCAAACTTCAGTCATATAAGGCCCAAGCCCCTATCGGCATGGCACACAACATAGCATAGCCGCACAGCTGGATTAGGGGTTATATACACGCAGTACATATATATATATATACGTATACATACGCACACACGTATACACGAACATATAATTGGACACGAGTCTACCGAAGCGGAGATGGGAGCTAGTGCCAGAGCTCGAGCGAGCGAGACAGACAGACAGAGAGAGAGAGACAAAGAAAGAGAGGGAGAGACAGACAGAGAGACAACCAACTATGGAGCACAGGGGGGGAGAAGCAAAGGGAGAGAGTGAGGGAGGGGGAGAAGGGGAGGGCGAGGGAGAGGGAGAGAGAGACGGCACGAATGAACGGATGATTCGTCAGAGGGCCGGCGGTACTAGCCGATGGCGCCCTCGGCTCTTTTTGCTGGAGCCACGTCGAATTGAAACTGCGGGAGCATATGCACTGGGACTCACGGGCTACACACGCAGATCGCTGGGCTAGACGACCGAGCTACGAAGCGGTCAGCCGAGGGGCGACATGACTGGCCGGCCGTGAGGCACAGGCCGCGGTGCACAGCGGCGCGACGCGCCGCGGATGTGGTGGCCATTACATTAGGGGCGGGCCAGTTGCCTCCGTAGGCGTGGGCGGCGAAGCCAAGCCGTCACCCGGCGAACGGACTGGAACGCCCGGGGGGAGTTCCCCTCCCCGCGGGGAGGGGAGCTCTGTGCACAGGCTGCACAGAACCCCCCCGCCACTTGCACGGAACCGTGGACCCCTGTGCAGCCGAACCCTGCGCAGCCGGACCCTGTGCACGGAACCACACGGCCGACCGCGAGCCCGACCGCCGACCGCACGGCCGCGGCGAGCCCGGAGTTCGAGGATCCGCGTTCCGAGCTCGGCGATCCGAGCCCAGTCGGGACGTGCGTGAGCCGTTGACCGCGCGGCCACGGCAGCGGTGGGCGAAGGCATGGCGGCGCGCTTGCGACCGCCCGAGTTTCCGTACGTAGAGGAAGGACGACGACGACGGTGAGGTTGTACCCTCACCCTCTCCAAGGTCCTGATCCGATGTCGGAGACGGCGGACGGCTGGTCGAGGGGCGGAGATCGCGGAGTCGGCGGACGGCTGGCGGGGCGAGGGGCACGACGCTCGATGCAGCTGCCACACTGGGTGCGACCGCCGCGGGGTGTGCGACAAGCACGCGGGGGTCGGCCCACTCGTTTCCAGCGGCATGTGAGCTCCAACCGTGAACGCGAACAGGAATATGAAGGGCGGCCTAGAGGGCGCTGCACACGCGAGTGATGGCGTGCGCGCACTCAAGAGGGGAATCGAAGGCAGTGCAGGAAGAGGGGCGAGGGAGGAATGATGGGGATGGTGGACTGTCAACGGGGGGTCAACAGTTAACTTTGGAATGCGACCAGTTTAAAGTTAAGCGTTGTGTTCGCGGCAGGTTCCTCACGTCATGTGATGCAAGCGCGTGGACCTCAAACGATCGGTTCCTGCACTCCCCACGTGCAAGCTAAGTGCAGTAGAAATAATTTGGCTGATGCTGCTGTTGATACTGATGCTGCGACGGCTACTGCTACGAAACTTACGACGACGATTACTACTAGCAGTCAGCTCGATCGTGATTGTATACCATGCCCCTCAAGACGATGATGGCGATGCTGCGGGTAATGACGTGGATGATGAGCACGATGAAGATGGCGAGATTGAGAAGCATGAGGACGAGGAGGATCAGGATCAACCGTGGCTGATGATGAGATGAGGAAGGAAGACGAGGGCAAGAATGATGATGAGGAAGATACCCCAGATCGGACCCCGGCGGCCCACACCTGTCGCGTCAGCCGATGATTTTTCTCGGGAAGCTTCAGGGGTCCTGGTGTTCCAGGAACGTGCACCACCAGGGAGGCAGCGAAGCAGGCCGGCCCCTTTCACAAACGCTCGTTCAAATGTGCTCGGGCCGAGGGCAGAAGCGGGGCACAAGCCCCCTCGCGCCCCCGCTGGTGAGCTACCTTGCAGATTCACCGGCGTAAATCTGCACACGGGCCCCGACCAGAATTCGCTCCAAATCGCTCCCTGGACCCCTCCCGCTGTCCCTCCGACACAGTTTCACGCCCGGGGGTCCGCTTCCAGGGCCCCAGGGGCCCGAGAACGGCTCCTAGAGGCCGAAAACTGCGAAAAATCGAGATCGACAACAAAACAAAAACGAAAAACCCTCTCCATACCAAGAGCTCGGGGCGCAGACCAGTTTATATACGACAAAAATAAACTTGCCACCTGGGGAGAAAGGAAAGACGCATTTCTGCAGGGCTGCCAGCTACGCTTGTGGCGTGCTCCGAGGGTGCGCGCACTGCCCTGCGCCGTCCCCGCAAAGCAGCAGGAGAGGCACGTAACTCTGCGGCCGCCCGTGTGGCGCCAGCGGCTACTCGAGGCTTGCCTCTGCAGTCGAGATGTCACACACTGCCCCGAAAAAGTAGTGCAACGTTGCTCAACGACTTTTGTTCGGCGTCCTCGGTCTTTCGCCGTTTTCGGCCCCCGGGGGCCGTTCTCGGGCCCTGGGGCCCTCGCAAACGGGCCCGGGGTGAAAAACTGCGCGAGGTGGACCCTGGGAAGGGTCCTGGGACGGACGTTGAGCCGATGTTGGCCTGTTCGACAAGACCTTCAATCGTTGCATTCCCTTTCCAGGACGGTGTATGCGCTTTGGTCTTTCAGGAAGCGGCCTGGACAAGGGACAGGCGATGAACGCATGACACCGAGGGCGTCGCTGCCTCCTCGTGATCATCTTCTCCAAGCAATCCTCCGACAACAAACTCGGCACGCGTAAGGTGCTTAACGTACAAATTCAGATACCGGGTGCCCTGCTGTGTGCACCCATGGGCAACTTTCAGTTCTACCTTTCCAAACTGTTCCCAATTCAAATCTCTGTCTCCCAGATCTTCAGCTTGGAAACGGAGGCCGCCAGTATGCTTCGCTTCTATCCAAGCCCCTGTGACATTCAGATCCTGGAAATAAACATCTGCACATGATCCACCCAGTCGGCGTGCCTCAGCATCTACACGAAGTAGTGCGTTCTCTACGCGCACTCCCCGTGGAATACTGATCAGAACGTGATGACCAGGCTTCATCAAGTCGAATTGTTGACCATAGATGTTTTGCAAATGCGGATCGCCGACGGCAGCCACCACGGGATTTGGGGTTAAAGTAGTAGTTGTAGTTGCGCTAGCACCTGAACTTGTGGTTAATCCACTGCCTACCCCTCCAATTGTAGTAGTGGTTATGGTGGCACCCGTACCTATGATTGTAGTTGTCGTCGTGACCGGATCAGCAAGATCATTTCCTCCTCCTCCAACGCCCGTGGTCGTGGTGGTGGTGAACAAAATACTACCAGTCGTCAGAGTGGTCGGTAAGTCGACAGCGTCACAGCCAGGGTCGTCGTCGGTACATATGTCAGCCTGAACTACTGTCCAGCCGCCTGACCCGTCCCCGCCCTTTGTAATAGGGTTGAAGTCGGCGTAGGGGCCGCGACCAGCGCAGTTCTCAAGGCTCCAGCCTGCTCCGCATCCATGAATCTGATTGCATAACCTCAGGCAAGAGGTATCGTCGACGGCACCGTGGTATAGCCTGTATGGGAGACTTTTCTTGAACTCGTGCAAAGAGCTTGGGTCCTGGCCGTCATATGAGTTTCCATTGAAGAGCTGGTTTGATAGGCCGCGGGTCACTCGCCTGCGGAATGCCGTCTCGGGTCCTTCCAGCGTGAGGGTCATGTACGCACGACGGCGCCGCCCAAACATCGCAAAAGTCTGCCACTCGAGGCTGTGGTTCCCAACGCCTAAATATATATTCGCCTCTGCGCAGCGAACGTCTTGTCCATTCCGGCAGGCCCTGCAATCCAGCTGTCCATAATACAGACCATCCATGTTGATCAGCTCCACGCCGTCGACCAGAAGTTTACCCCCATCTTTGATTTGCATACTGAACGTGTGTTCGCCGGCAGCCGTCACCTCCATCGTCGTCGTTGCTTTGGCAGCGTGGTTCCGCATATCTCCATATTTGAAGCCAGCCAACCCACAACCTTGTAAGTCACTTAGGAAGCCCAAGCGCACACTAATGAACTCGCAAACTAAATTTGATTCGTCCCAAGTGGCTGGTAGATGTGTTTGGCAACCATCAACCTTGTAGAATTTCCAAAGCCACCCAAGGTAAGGCACGTCGATTCCAATTCCCTTCATACTCACACGTTCCTCGTCAAGGTTATAAGTTAAGTAACTTTCCAGTTCATACCGACCGAGCTCTATGTCGGAAACCTCTTCCTCTTCGAGCTCCAATGAATCGAGGTCGTCAAGACTATAATTCAACCGCTCGAGCTGCAGAGAAGAACAGATTACGGGCAGCGCCGAAGAGAGCCCAAGAGTAATCCAAGTAATTTGCGGCATGCAGAGAAGTCCGCCCACCTCTTTGGGGTCACCAGGCGCGTGATCTTAACTCCCCCCTGAAGCCCCCTCCCTCTGGGCCCGAAATCGCCGAGTTTGAGGGGGGCGGCCTTTAGGCTTCGCTTCCTCTCTCGAATACGCCCCAAGAGACGCCCGAGAGGTCCGTATGATGGTCCAAGACGATTACATACATACATGTCTGCAACCGTGCCCTCGGGCACGGAGTGGGCGTGTCCCCAGGTCCTTTGCCTAACCCCATAAGCCTCAGCACTCACTCCTGAGGAGTCTTATCAGGGCCCGGATCCCAAATTCGTAAACCTCTTTGGGCTTGGCGCGGTTACCCGGGGCTCCCCCGCGGCTTCCCATCTCACTTTTTCTGATCCAAGAGGGCCCCAAGACGGGCTAAGAGAGTCCCGAGAAGACCCCAAGACGGTCCAAGAGGGCCCCGAATCGCCGAACGACCGCTCCAAGACGCCCAAGATGGCACTCAGACAGCTCAAGAGGCCGCCAAGACGCCCCCAAAGAGCTCCAAAAACACTCCCAAGAGGGCCCCAGGAGGCCAACATCGTTGACTAGTTTGATATGGTTTTAATGCTTCCGACTTTTCCTCGTTCCGACGCTTCACGACGGCCCAAGACGCCCCCAAGACCTCCACAAGATGGCCCAAGAGGCCCCCAAGAGGGCCACAAGACAGCCAAAGGAGGCCCCGAAGAAGGCCCAAAAGGCGCCAAGACGTCCAAAAAAGGCCCGAAAACGGCCCCAAGAGGGGGAACACGAACCCAGAATTCAAGCTTTCCGCTCCAAGAGGCCCCGGAGGCCCGAAGAGGCCCCCAAGAGGCCCCAAGAGGCCCCCAACCAGCCTCCAAGAGGCCTCAAAGCTGCCCCCCCAAAGAGGCCCCCGATAGACCTCCCACGACATCCCAACGAACATCCAAGAGACCTCTGACCTACAACCCAGGCACTGTGGCAGGATGGGCCGAAGGCCATCACGATCCGCCGCCCCCTGTTGATGTATCACGAGGGTGCCTGGCCTGCTGGATCCTTTCAGTTTTGGTTTTGGCTCTTTTTCCAAAAGAACTCTCCCCTGGGGCTCTGGCCCATCCCGCCAGTCACCCGGAAGGGCCCGCAAGGGACCTCAACGGCCGGAACAAATCCCCAGGTCAATGCCTTTCCCGCTCCAAGATGGTTCAAGATGGCCTCAAAGACGCCCATCATGGCTTAAGATGACCTCCAAAACGGCCCAGGAGGGTCGAAGATGCCTCCACGTCCGCCCAAGAAGCTTCCAAGACGGTCCAAGAGGGTACAAGAGGCAGGACGGCCCAAGAGGCCTCCGAGAGGACCTCCAGGAAGACCCGACGAGGCCAAAATCATTGATTTTCCTTCGGTGTTTGAAAGGTGTTGGCATTTGCTTCTTTTTGGCCTCCCGACGGCCCGAGACGGCCCAATAACCTCCAAAGATCGCCCCAAGACCGCCCAAGAGGCCTCCAAGATGGCCCCAGAAGTTTGAAAGGGGTTGGGAGGCCCAACCAACAGCTTCGCCTGAGGCGAAGCCAAGCTCCCGCTCTGCTGTACCACAGTAACGATAGTCCCAGTAGTAGGGGGCGAGCCATCTCAAGCAGTTTTGGTATCGATGGCAAATAATACACCTCGCGCTGAAGTGTAGTCAGATTTGGGCGGCCGGCCGCTTTGAGCCAAGCAGCCGCGGATGCACGCTCGTTCCCACTCACATGCAACGCCCAGCTCACTTTAGAGTCGGGGGGGAGGGAGACGAGGCGCGAATCCGCCGCTTCTATACAGCAGATATAGCAGCGACTATTTACAAAAAGGGCAGCAAAAACGCGGGGCCGTAAGGAAGGTGGACCCGCACGCAAGTTGCCTTGCCTGTACTACTCCGTGCCTACAAGTACTCCTCAGGCGGCCACAGAACGAGATATCGGGCCAGCCCGATAGGGAGTATGACTGTTTAAGTCATGTTTGAAGGATTGTGTACCTCCTGTGACCTGTAGGAGCATATCTCTGTCAATGCTCCCCTTGGTGTGACCGTCCGCAGTCATACCGCGGGTGTCGCACAACTGAACACTGTGCACGATCCCTCGCTCCATCATCTGTCGTATCCAGCTGATGTGTCCTAAAAGGGTACTCTCGGTCGGCTTCTGCAAGTCTTTGCTTGACAAGGACTTAAAACAAACTCGGCATCTATGGTCAAAGTGACCTTGATGCTCAGGCCACCCAACTCAAGTCTGTCTTTCAACTGAGTGGGAGTTAGCGGCCCTGCGTGGAGCTCGCGCAGAGTCACGATCGTAGGATAACAGTCCTCCAAGTTGTGGGCAGCTGCTACTGTCTCTGCTGAATAGCTCGAGCGGACCTGCAAGCGGTGAGACTTGCAGTACGCATCGATCAAGTGGACGACGGGCTTACCAAATGGCGTGTTTCCACGCCGTAACAGGTTTGCCCCGCGAATACCATAGCCTTTGACTTCGTCATCGGCGTCTCCACTCAGGCGTCGGTAACCTGAGTCGCTCTGCAGGTCGACCTCGCCCGTAGGGGTTCATCGCCTGGTAGGCCATTTTCTTAAGGCAAGCCTGCAGTGTCCTGGTGATCGCGCTCAGTCGTCGCACTTGTATAGCGGTCGGTTCTTGGACAAGTCGTAGAGAAACAACATGCACCATCAACCACACCTGGGTGATTAATGCACGCGCCAGCGCGTCTCTAAGGCTGACGAACACGTCTGCAACCATCTTGGATGCCTGAGTGTCAGCGTCGGCGCGGGTAAGTTCAGGGTGTTGTATAGGACGGAGCTGCTTGATGTATTCGTCTTGGTCCAAAGTAACATTTCCGCCCTCATCCCTGGTGCATCTCACAGCAGAATTGGTGCGTGTCCTCAGTACCGGCCATATTGATATCATCGACATGTTTGGCCGTAAGCAGGTTACTGCTCGTCTCGAACTCCTCGTCGTAGGACGTGGGTCGGAGACCAAAACCTCTCGCGGTCATTCTGAGCTTTAGTGAGAAAGCTCGGGGTGCGTCTTTGGTGCCAGTGCCTGGTTTATCTCACTGCAAGCAGTGCTTTGACTCGTCGTAGTGTTCAAATCCTGGGAGGATTCGAAGCGCCGTGGCCGATCCGGGCGGCAAAGTAAAACACACCACACGTTCCTTGTCACCAGTTGCTCAGCAAGTTCCCTGCGGGTCAACCGCTCCAGGAAGGCCATGTTGATGTCGAGGGAGGCCATGATCCATTGCTTCTTGCACGCGGCCGTGCTCGCGAGTAGTCTCTGGCTTGACCGCCGCGCTGTTCCCGAAAAGGTTTCCACGTCAAAGGCTTCCAGGTCCATGAAGCCTCGAAGCATCAGGCGTAATATGATGGCACGTTCCATGTCGCGCCCTTCTCGTTCTTCACAAACTTCCATGTGTGCACATACCTCGAAGCCATGATGTTTGACGGCTTAGATATGTCTTGCATTTTGAAACGCTTGTTCTCCAACCATGTCTTGAGTTCGGCGTAGAAGGCTGTCGATACTTTTGCGGGATTCGCCTGGATGTCAGCCATCGCGAGGAGGTCGTCTTCCTTGACGACCACAGCTCGCTTTGCAGCGGCGGTCACATGTACTCGCACGGTGGTCACACGGTCGGCATCTAATATCATGTGCTGTTGTTCGGACAGGACTACCTTTGGCATTTCTGCCGTAAAGCAGCGTTCTACAGATTGTCCATTTTCGTCTGGGTCCAGTCCGTAATTGCAATCTTCGACCATTGAGAACAGTGGGACATGATACGTCTCCTCGATGTCGGAGTCGTGTGGGTGTCCCCACTTAGGCAGGTGCCCCCGTTGTTCTTCAGATACAGTGAACAGCACACTACTGTCTGGAATCATCTGCGTGGGCATCGTGGAAAGATCCTCTAGTGGAGTTGCCTCCAATAGTTCCTTTTCATATTGTAGTTCTGCATACCACACTTCCATAACGTGCGCCTCGAGGTCAGCCTCCGATTCCTCGTAGATCGTGGGAGGCCGTCCATCCTCCTGTGGTGGTTCGGCTTCTGAGGCTTCTCTTGCAGTTCCATCCGGTGTCGGTGCATCCGCAAATTCCTCAAACTCTGTCATATGCTGGTCAAAGCCTGCTTGAGGTTTGGTGGGCTTCAGGCACTGGATGATTCTAGAATGTGCTGAGCCAGTGATATCGTAAATGTTAAGAGCGGTGCCCTCTGCTGCATAGTAGTAGTTCCTGGATTCACACCGTCGTCATAGTGGACCAATGTGCAGCAGTCAGCGTAAGCAGCCGGAGGTAGCTTATGAATACTCTTGGCTAACCTGACCGAAGCTACGTTCTCGATGCGGAAGAAGTTTATGATAAGGTATTGTAAAGCTAGATCTACCTTGGGAGATACTCAGCTTGCACTTGTCATCTGAAGCATCCCCTTCTTGGTTGGTACATAGCCAAATGTCATAGCAGATCTCCCCGCAGGTAAACTGGCCATGAACGTCAACACTGTCCGTAGCGCAGTGCTGTCGGAGCCTATTTCTCTGGCTATTAAAGCTTCTATCTAGAGTGAATGTCGTGCATCGCCGTATTGTACCCGAACGTCGCGGCTTCCCGCTCGAATGATGACTTGACGCATTTCGGGATCGTGTCTTACGACTGGGAATGGGCCGTTCCAGCCCCCGCAGTCGTCCTTCGTGGTTGTGGGGCGATGGTAATCAACTAAATTTCCTTCATCGTAGTAATGCTGACCGGTAACGGTTCTCTTAGTGCGTAATGCACGATTGGTCTTGGCTACTGCAGTGGCCTGTGTGATAGCTTCAATGCATACCTTGCGTATCATCTGTTCACGGAAATGATCCGACGTTTCCGTCGGCTGTTCGTGATCCAGGACAGGTAAGTCAGGGAGCATTGCCAGTTGCCGTCCAAACAGAGCGCTGCATGGAGACACCTCGCTGTAGAAAGTGAAGGCGTTGGCGGCAAACAAGGCCTCATGCAGTAGTCGTGTGAACACAGGAGATATGTCGAACCTGTTGAGTTCAGCTT